TTGGGCTTACTCCAACTTAGTTTAGTTTGTGGCCTTCAAATCTTTTTTTCATATGGTTTCTGCCAGTGTTGTTGACCAATGAAGCTACTATTCAAATGCATAAAAAGTATTTTATTTGAATATTATTATTTAAATTATATTAATTTTTTTTTGTTTAGATTTAAATTGACCACGCCTAATTTAAGAGAAAAACATCTGATGTTAGATATGTATAAAGTTCAAATATTTCTGGATGAAGTTCAGGGAAACAAAAACATTTGAACTCCAGGAGTATATAATTACATTTTCAGATACTTTAAAATGTATTTGGTAAAAATATATTTAATGTAGTAAGTAATTTACAAAAAAGGCTTAGCTCATGGGCCGGTTCGATCTAACCTGTTATTGGGGTAGAGTTGGAATAGGATTTTTCAAGTTCATTTAAAACTAGGGTTAATAAGTTCGACTCATATAAATTTTTGGTTCATGAAGCTTGATCGGGTCGGGTTAGCCCATGAGCCAAAACTTTTTATTTAAAAGTTATTTACTATATTTAATTACATAAATACACGTTATGTTGAATCTAACCAAATTTTGGTACGTCTAAATAGATGTATCTCGGAATCCATGAATTCAAAATTAGGTTAATATATTCTAAATACACTCTATTCAAGTGGATTCGCATGTATCTAGGATGCATAGACAAATTTTGTGCCCTCAACTCCCTCCAATCTTGTTTGTCACTCACTTGTCTCGCTCACGTTCTGATATGCGAGATACATGTTAATTACACTATATTTTTTGCTAGTGTAATTAAAATAACACCATTGTTTGCTATATTTGATTTGAAAATATTATCATTTTCTTAATGTTATAAAATTATGAGTGCAAAAAGAAAAGAAAAAGGGGGGCTAGCCCGCTCCAGCCTTCGGCCCTAGGGTTAGGTTGGATTGAATTGAGTATTTTGAAGTCCTTCAGAATGAAGTGTCAACTCGCCCTAGCCCTTCAAATTTCTTGGTCCGCTAAACCTAAATGGGTTTGGATCAACCCTTTTTATAACTCTAAAGTGATATATAAGCAAAATATATTAATATATATTTTATAAATTTTATGGGAAGTGAAATGGTGGTGGTTGGGTGGGGGTGGTAGCGGTATTATGTATTGAAGCGTGAGAGGGTATATTTGATGATTTTGAACAAGCATTTTGAAATTGTATTTCCTATTTTTACTAAGAAAAATTGTTTTCTTCATTTTTAGAGAATTTATTTTTCTAAGATTTTCTTTAAAATAATTGAACATCTAAATTTTAAAAAATTAAAAATAACAGTAGGTGCATTTCTTTCTCCTTTATTCATTATTTACATGACGTGCCAACTCATATTATTAATTTGAGAAAATGTTTGTATGTGAATGAATGGATATATGAAGAAAAAGATATATTTAAAATTTAAGTTTGAAAATGGTATTTGAAAGTTGAGAATTATTAAAATTTTGTGAAAAAATTAAAACAAGCTAGAAAAGTTTGGTACTTTTTTTTCATGTTCAGAGAGGGAAACTGTTTTTACGTCCAAACAATTTTTTGTGCCCGTGAATAAAAGTGATGATTTTCAAATAAAATATAGTTCCAAAAAGAAAAAAATAATATTCAAAAAATTAAAAATTGTACATGAACATACATTTTACTTAACACATTATTTACATTTTTGTGTGAAAAAAAAATATTTTAATTGAAAAAAAGGATATTTTTTCAAGTTTGAATTGAAAAAGAAAAAAAAGAACTAAAAAATATCTATAACTCACAATTATTCCTAAAAATCTCAATTCAAAACGCGTATGTAGCAAAGTCAACAAATCTTTAAAACTTTGTATTTTCTCTATTTTTTATGTCTCATATTAATTGTCTATTTTATTATAAATAATTATATCAAATTACTTATTAATTTATATAATTAAGATAAAATTAATGGAAGTTTTCTCATCTTCACCTTTGCAATTGTTTTTTAAAAAAGTAAAAGAAACAGATTTTACATTCATAAAAGTTTTAAAAAAAGTAAATTATTAAAAAAAATATTTGGTAGCAGCTAATGTCGATGGACATTAAACTGAAATTGATTAATGTCGACTTCCATTTCAGTTGGGCTACATGGTTATTGAAGACAGTGCATTTAGCTACGCTTCGCACAGTTATAAAAAGAATTAAAATAAAATTATATATCAATATCAATAATTAATTGAATAAAAAAAATTGTTAACAACATAATTTTATAGAAGATAAGCTATGAAAAATATTTAGATTAAATATGAAATTTATTAAGAAATCAATATATGTGAACTTCGAAAAGTTAAATATTAAAAATAAAATCCATAGAGAAAAAAGAAAGGTAATAAGAATTGGGTATATTAGAACTACTTAAATGTAAACTTGTGATCAATTTTTTCTTTTTTATTTGAGATTTTCTTAGTATAATTTATATATAATTATGTAAACTTGAAATTTGATCGTTCTTTTATATTTATTTATAATTTTTTTAATTATATTCTTAGTAATTTTTCGACAATGTGTAACTCAAATTGCTATTAATAGTTAGTATTTATAACTATATAGTTAGCCAACACTATTATAAAATTCATTATCCACAATTACTATTACTTGTCCTCGTCATCATTCAATCATCACATGTTTTAATTATTTTTATTATTGTACAATATTAAATTAATTTAATATTTGTATTAATAACTTTTTAATAATTAAATTTTAAATAAAAAAAAGTTTTTAACAATCTTAATTTGTTAAATTTCATATCTTGTTGTTGTTGTTCTTCTTCTTATTATTATTATTAGAGAAAAAATGGTTAAATGCTCCTCCAATCTATTACCGGATTTCTAACTATACACTTAATTTTACAAGTGTCATATCACCCTTCTGAACTGTTTAAAAGTTTATTTCACTTGACATGTATTTTCTTTTTTAAGAGCTTATACATCAATCTATTCATTTTATGAATTTTCCGAAGTCCAAAAAAAGGAAATTTATTTTTTTGTTTGAGTATAACCCGTTATGAAGTTTTTGTTTTTTATTCTTATTATCGATCTTGAATTAATGGATAATATTTTTCAAATTCAAATAACATTTTTATTAGATTTTATTGAGCAAATTTGTTATCGAATATTGCAAATTAGTCTTGAGTGGATCAAATCTCTAGTTAGATTTGAGCACGATTTATTTTTAAAAAGATCATTTTATAACGATTTATTTTTTAAAAAAATCATTTTGTATCTATGAAGTCTAGACGTTGAAGGATGAATTTTAAGAAGTTATTAGGTTAAAGAACTGAAAAGTAAGGCCCAATTTCATAGAAAGTGAGCCAAACTACGTGAGAAGCTAAAATATGTGCCAAATTTGGTAGCATTTGTTGTCTGAAGTTTGAACTAACATGCGGTGTGATATATAAAACTCGTGTATTCGTTCGTTTGTTTTCAATAAATGTACTTATTTCTTTTATTTTTAATTGTTCTAATTTTCTTTTTTTAAAGTTAATCTATAATAATTTTGCCTACATTTTGTGTTATATTTTTTATTATATTTATATGTAGAAAAATTACAATTTATAATACTTTTCGTATATTTTTAAAATATATAAATATTTTATTTAAAATATTGAATTAATATGATCTAATTTAATTTTAAAAAATAATTAAATTGACTTTTGAAAAACATAACATAATAATTAAAAGCGTTAATGAATCTTAATTATTTAAATTTAAAATCTAGTATAGGCATATTTTTCTTTTGATATACATTGTAATTTGTAATCATTCAAATTTTTATTGAATGCATTTGATTTCCCCCCTTTTAATTATTTAACGAACCTGGATAAATCTAAATAATTAATATTTATAACAAATCACTAGCATTATTAAGACAACATGCATCTAATAATCCAAAGACTACATTTGTTGTTACTTCATCCACTTTCACCACTATTCATCACTTTAGTCACTATTATCAATTTTCACCATTATAATTGCAATTACTATCCTTGATCACAATTACCATCCCCAACAATTACTAGTATCATCATTCATCACAATTGATCATTAATCATCAATTTTCACCATTATCATTGCAATTACTATCCTTGATCACAATTACCATCCCCAACAATTACTAGTATCACCATCCATCACAATTGATCATTAATCGTCATTATTATTAGTCATCATTTATAATCACCATTACTAATCACCTATCACACTGTTTACCTATCATTATCAATAATTAAATATATTGTTGCGATCGTCCTTTATACTTATCAGTCATTAATATCAACTGTCACTTCAACCATCACTATTATCAGTAGCTATAATATATCAATAGTTATGAATGTAGAAATTTCAATTTAATATGTAAAATTGAAAGAAAAAGATATCATTAGTTTATCAATATTATTGAATTAATAATTTTAAAAACAACTCTATTAAACTACCAATTCGAAATGAAATAGTTTGAAAATATTTTTCTTTTAGTTAAGCAAAAATCAAATAGTGAAAGATCACTAACCGATCAATCATATTTGACAATGACTGTCCTATTAGTTGATTATTGATTTTTCTTTTTTAAAAAATCAATAACTAAAGAATTGAATCGATACATATAAAATTAGATCGAACCAATTAACAAATACTTTTATTAATGACCAATATCAACCAACACCATCAATTGTCACTATTAGCTATTACCACATCAATCACCACATATAATTTTTTTAAAACATTTCATCAACATAATATTTGAGTGACTAATATGTTATGTATATTTTTTACTTACATAAAAGTTTTATACATTCAACATTGAAAAAACAAAACGTTTCTTAATTATATAATATTTAAATCTCAATTCAACATATAATATTCATTATTTAGAGCATATATTTAAATTCAAATATCTAAATTTTGATACACATTTTATTATTCAAACGTATATTAAAGTTTTAAATTAATTTTATTTAGTAACAATAATAAATTGGGTCTTAATTACTTTTAAGCCGTACATAAACTAAAAATTGACAATAGAATTGGGCGGGTGCTTTTGCTGATGAATCACCCGAACTGAATTTCAGAGCCCTAAATAACTCTCCGTACAATTTCACTGCGAAGACGAAGAACATCATGAGCAACGATAAACAGTTCGAATTCTGCGTTGTTTGCAAGCTCAATCACAATCAAGGACGCCGTCATAACTTCATCCCTAACCACAAGAAGTCGCTCGCGGCGGTGCTCTCCCGTTTCCAGTCGAAGCTTTCCGATATCCGGTTCTTCCTCAAAAACCCTATCCCTCTGCGCCCTGAGCATGCTTCGCTTAATCGACTTTGGTGTATATTCTGCGATCGTGATATACTTGAACTCGACAGCTTCTACGCTAGGTATGGAATGATTACTTTTCTGCTTGTTTTTCTGATTAGTTAAGTATATGTTTTCGTTTTTAGATTTTATGTTTGTTGGATATAGTGACAATGCGATTAGGCATTTGTCTTGTGCCGATCATATGAAGAAAGTTAAAGGTTTTTTGTGGAAGTATGGTGGTGGAATGGACAAGGTTGATACTCTTCGGATTACAGAGACTGACTTCTCCAAGGTACTGGTAATATATTTCACATTTATTTGTATGCCATGCTATTGTAAATTTATGTTGTTTGGTGTATGCAAGCCGTCTAAATGTCTCTCACTATCACTATCACCATCACCAAGTCTTACAATTAACTACAACAATTTCTGTACCTTTATTTGAAACTAGTTGCCCTCAGCTGAAGTTTTGCTCGGAGTAGGAATGTACTATAAAATTTGAGCTGATAAAATTTATGAGAGTTAGATGACGTTCCTTCATTTACCAATTTCATTAGAGCACTTCATAGTTATTATCTTATTTAAAACTTAAAATGTATTTCTTCATTAGATTATACGTTGCATATATGAGAATTTCTACTGTTCCAGCATTGTCTGTTTGTTCTTCAATGGTAAACCCTTTCTTCCTACACACAGTTTTTTATTTGGCATTTTCTCCCCTCTTGATCGGGAGATCTAGATGTGGATTATCCCTTTCTTTTGTCATTATATCATAGTGATTGGCACTATCAATAAATTTTCTCTGTGGGAGATGTCATCGTCTAGATGAAATTTCTGCATATTTAGAAACAAGAGGTGAATGTTAGCATTTCATGGAGTTGCTGAATTTGATCCTCACATGTCAACTTGAATGTATACATATCATCTTGAACTTTTTATTTTGTTTAAAAGATTGTTTTCCTATCGTTCTGACTCCTGATAAAGTCATTCGTCATGCACACAGTGGGAGAAGAAGTGCAATCTTTCGAAGAAGGGAGCTCTTGATGGAGGATCTCGGGCAATGTCAATTGGACCGTCGAATGATATCCAAAATAAAACTAACTCTGACTATCTAAATTGTTTTGAAAAAGATAATGTTCATGCTCTTAATGTTGATGTTTCAAATAGTGTTGTACCTTTACAAAATTATACGGATGAAAGATCACAGATATTTGAAAACAAAATGCATGGTGTTACAAATGGACCTAATATGCGCAGTACGTCCATGGGCGTACAACTCGGTGAAGATGCTTGTTCCTCCAGTGGCTTATCAAGTTAGTGCCTCATAGTTTTCTCTTTCATATGGTGGTATGATGTTTCCATCATCTCATATTTTGCTCACTGACTGATAATGGTCTCCTGAACTTCTTTTTGCACAGATGCCCAAAAGATCTTGGGGTTTCATGCCGCAGCTTCTCACGAATGTCTTAATGGAGATTCTGTAAGTCTATTCAACAGGCATATTTGCTACTTAATTTTCCTCTTATTTATCTCTGTGTTGTAAGCTCGGATACTAAGATCACTGTGCAATGTGCACTACCAGTAAGACATCCTATCATGCGCCTAGTTCCTTTTCCTATGTCCTTTTTTGCTCAACTTTGACCATCATAGTGGATGCTTTATCATTTTTGTCACACTTTTATCATTATTTGTCCTTTTGTGTTCATCATTTTTCTGAACTGGTGGCACCTCAGACTATTAAGCATTAATTGATGGTGATTTATTTCATTTGCTTTGCTTTGACTTTTTGAGTGGTTTCAAGTTTAGTATCTCTCTTATTTGGTGTGTGATTACTGACTGAATTTGTTGAAAAGAGATAATAGCTTCTAGTTTTGGAAAAGTTGGTCGTAGGACTGGTAAAATGTAGGGAATGTTAATAAACATGTAAGGTTGAGAGTATAGATATCAGAGTTTTGCTATGTCTACATGTGCAAGTAAGCAATATTGGTTAGCCTAAATACTTGATGTATTTATAGCAGTGCTGTCGGATGAAACTTGGTATAACATTCCATGGCTTTCTTTATCTGGGAGAAAGACAATTACAAGAAAAATAAAAGGAACGATAAAAACCAAAACGAAGTAAAAAGGTAGCCTCCCTTTCTCCATTTTTTTGTCTTTGCACTTATGCAGCTAAGCGCGCCAACACGGCAAGCCCTTGTGTTTTTGGCCCACTTCAGCCTTTCAACCATCATATTTGAACGCTGAACATTGAGAACCATGCCACTTCTAGTTATAGAAATGAGTTTCAATCATGATAGGTGTCTCTTTTCTTTTCAATTTTTATGAGAAGTGTTCATACAAACGCGTGATGAGCTTTCTTGCTTACATCTGGTTACCAAAGGAACACATATAGTGTTTGCCGTGACATGATTCCCCCCCTTATGATGAATTTCTGCTTCTTCTCTCTGTGCTTTTGTTCTTCTTACAGTATTTAAAGAATTTGACTGTCTTCTTTTTATCAAGTTGTGACGTATACATTTAAGAGTTCATAAATGTTTGGCTGGCAGGGAGGGTAATAGAGGCAGACCCATGAATTGAAAATGACTAGGGCACCAATATTTTTAATGTAGACATGTAATTCTCTTTCTTTGTACAGAAAAAGTAAACTGTCCTGTAACTACAAAAATGTCACAACAATATGTGGACGAATGCTGAAAGCAGGAATCTATCTGAGTTAAGTGGCACTAAAGGTCATTCTGTGTGCCCCAGATCAACAAGTGCAGCTACTTTCCCTTTGTGGTTCCGGGTGCCAATCATTAATCAAAATATATAAACATTATTTGAGATATACATACACATATTATAATACATTTTTCCCGAGGTTACCAGGGGCCGGTGACCCTCCTACCCTGGGGGTAGATCTGCCTCTGATGGTAACTATCTAGCAAGGTGGCTATAATCATTTGTGCGAAAAGATTGCCGATGCCTGTAGAAATTGAACTTCCACATCTCATATATTTATGGCATGCTAAAAGCTTCCATTTTAATCATGAGAAAATTTGTGTGCCGTCATAATTAATCTCTTGATCTTGCTGGCCTAAGTCAGTCACCGTCAATATATGTAAGTAGTATGTTTGTTCCTTAGGTGCCATTGGCTCAATCCACCCCTTGTATAATGGGCTGCAACGGAGATGCTTTCCAGGGCAAGGCTCTTTTAACAAGCTAAACAAGAACCAATTTAAGAGATCACAAATACATGCCCAAAAAGGAAACAATGTCATTAAGAACTCACAGTTCAACCTTTCCTGTTGCATTGGAAACCTAAAAATCTTTTTACGATCTTTCTGTTGATGGAAAATTAACAATATAACCAATTTGACTCTCATGATGCTAAATGAAACACGGGACAGTTTTAAATTTTTGTGGAAGCATACATGGAAATTATTTGCTAATAGAATAGTATCAGGTGCTACTTTTGCTTCTCAATTGGAATGCGGGATTTGGTTGTCTAAACTTTTTCTGCTTATAAGTTTTTCCTTATCATGTAAATTTCGCCTGTTTGATTTGCTAGGGAACCTCGGATAGGAGAATGTCAAAGGGGATGAAGAGTTCTCTGGGTACTGATTTCTTTACTTTCTGCGTAATTTTATGTTTTGTGCACTTTAGTTGAGACTTTGTTTTAGTAATGTTTCAGAGTAGTAAGTTCATGTTTATGGACGTATAATATGTTTCTGGGTTGGTTATTATGGTGTTTTTTCTGTCTTGTTAGTGTGCTTTTACGTAATCTTACAGTTGAAGAATGGAAATTTCTCCTTCAGGTTCACCAAGCATTACACAGATATCTTTAACATTTCAAGAAGATTCCCTGGGCAATGTTCATTCTGGAGCACCTCCTCCATGGTTCAATGCGGTTGAAAAAAGTCAGCTAGATTTTGTATCAAATCCTGGAAGGAGTGACCCCTTCCCTCCCAATCAGAAGAAGAAGTCGAAACTAAACCCAAACCGGGTTGGTGCTGCTTGGGCAGAGAGAAGAAGAGTTGAACTGGAGTTGGAGAGTAAAGGGGAGCTCGTGACAAACACTTTCGATGTGAACTGGCTCCCAAATTTTGGCAGAGTTTGGCAATCAGGTACTAGGAAGGAATCTAGAAAAGAATTTCAGCTGGAGAATCACAAATCTTCTGAGGTTGAAAGCCAATCCCAGAGTAGGGTGCAGTTACAGCCTTATGTCAGTAAGCGAAAGGTAAGCTACTATATCAGCATATAGTCATTGACTTCAACATGATAAATTCCCCCAACTAGTTCTTTATCATCACCAAGAAACCTCTAGCCTGGTCTTATATACTGAAACTATGTTTACATATGTGAGGCCGTAGCCTGCAACTACGCTTAAGGATTTAATATGCGTATCACTTTATAACATTCATGAGGCGATTAACTCTGCAACTTTGCCTTGCATGGTTTCACAAATTCAGAATCAATTAGCTATCTGCATTTGAGCAATGCCGTGATATATATATATATCTTCTTTCATTTCAAGCTGACTTTTCTGCAGTTACCTTGTTATTCTTTTTATGTGAATGTAAATTTGTTATTAACGTCATAGTAAAACTGTCCTACTTCCCTTTCTGATAAAAAAACTCGACTTCTTCGTTTTATGGGAAGTCCTCATTGGTCCAACAACTTAAGCTAATTCAAGGTAATATTATTTGACTGTTTCTAACTCTTGCTAATAATTTACCAACTGTCACTCCTTAATTTCACAACTCCAATCTATACACAAAGCATTTTTCTTTCAAATTTGACATACTAAGCCATTTAAATATTTTACTTCATTGCACATGTCAAATTAGGTCATATTTTATGATATGAGTGGATCAATATGAAAGTCAAACTCCTTTAGCCCCATCACTTGTGAAACAGTTTGAAAAAAGAAAGCGACGGACAAAGATGTAGTGATAAGGGCTTTCTCAGTTCTATGACTCTCAACCTTTCTCCCAAATAAAATGCCTTCTTAGTTCTATGCTTTTTAGATATCTAAATTCTTCATTGCGAATATTCTGATGGTTGGTTCCCTGAGCGACCATTTATACTGATATACTTTGATGAGACGTCCCTTGTATGTTTATCTCTTTCTGAATAGATGCTTCATCTACTTCATATAGAACAAGTGTTCATTGAAACACGGCTGTATTGTTTCTTCCTTTGTATTACAAGTGTTCTGTTTATGACAGTCGCAAGACTAATGCTTTTGAGTTTTGATTAATCATTGCAGCGCAAAGGTCCTGTTGATGATGAGCTTGACTGACCTGCTCTGTATGGTGACCAAATTATGAAATTCATGTGTACATTCTTCTTGATATACTTTTTGGGTTTCCCGTGTATGAATTGGGGTAACTAGATTATTGTGAAGTTCATGATCAAGTTATTATAACCTGTAGATTGTTGTTATTTTAATTTTTCCTAATGAGATATTGGTTCTTCTCTAGTGGTTCTAGCAAAATTTCGGGCACAATTTGCCAATGTACAATCTGTTTCTTGTTTTAATGCCTTCAATTGGCTCAAAGTTCCACTTGTATCCTCTTCTTTTTTGCTTGAAGGTGCCTCATATCTCTTGCTTACAAATAATTTGCGATGAATGTTGAAGGCGACAGGTTCTCTAATTTTGACAGTTTCCTCTTACTCTATTGAAGACGAACTTCCAGTGCATTATAATATCATGAAGGCCATATGTGATAGGCGTCAAAACTGTGATATCTTGTAGATGTGTTTTTTTTTCCGACTGTGGCCTTGGATCTTAATAGCTGTTCATGCAATTCAAGTTTGCTGCAGAGTCGCCATTGAAACAGTGTGTTTTTTGTGCTATTGTTCTCTTATTGGCTCGTGTATTTAATAATGGGCGAAGCTTAGACAGCTGCGTGGTATTTCAAAGACGGGAACAAAGTTTATCAACCTTTGGAAGTAAATGATATTTTATCGTATGCTCATTAAAAAGAGCCACGATGACTTATTTAATAAGCAAAGCGAAACTGTAGTTACAAGTCGGATTTTATCGAGTAAGGAGTAAATTTTAGCAACAGGACAACAAAAGCTGCAAATAATTATACGTGTGTTAAAATTCTGGTAATTTAAATTAGTTGTTCCCCTTCTTTTGATTTGTAATTTTTTTAAAAATTATTTTATCAAACAATTTTACATGATATAAAAATTATTCTATAACAAATTTGATCAACTTCTAACTCAATCAAAATATTCTTTTATCAAAAAGAATTAAGGAAATAACAATAGTAGAGGAATTAAAGAGAATTTTATTACAATTTTCTAGCAAACAATATTTCCTTAAGAATAAGACACAAATATTTCTACTTTCGAGTCGATAGCTAGAGCGTGTCACGTGAATTATTAGGTAGGATACCACACTGTTTATTAAATTTCAAATTATTTGTGTACGTTTAAAATTAAAAGAAATAAATATCTTCTAAAATTAAATTAAAAGAGAGAAAAATATTCAGAGGTACGGCGTCGCTTAAGTTCCCGCCCAAGTGCTGTTAGAACTCATCGCCACATTGTAACACTACGCAGAAGCTCCACCCTACTCAACCCTCTAAACCCCTAAGCCACTCTTCTCCGCTGTCTTTCAGCGCCGGAAAATGCTTATATCCATAGTAGAAAGATCCTTATTCAGAGATAACGACGGCGGTACTAAAGTCGTCAAACACCGCTTCCTAGGGTTCTTAATCTGGCAAGCACTTCAATCCACCGCCGTCTTCTTCCTCTCCAAAACCCTACTCCTTTCTCTCTTCACTCGAACCCCCTTCAAACCCTCATTTCTTAGTATCTTCACTTTCATAGTTTTCCACTTCTCCCTTCTCATCTTCTCTACTTCCCTTTTCATCATCTCTTCTCCTCGCCCTCAACGCGCTGCTTCCCCTCTAAATCTTCTGCTCGGTACTGCTCGGCTGATACTTGTTCCCATTTCTAACTCTCAGCCGCTGCTGTCCCCTGATTTTCGGCTCCGGGCGAGGGCTTCCATTAGTTTCGTGCTGTTTGTGGCGGTGGCTGCTGTTTCAGCTTCTCTGTCTGTGATTACCCTCTGTTTGAGCTGTAATGCTTTCGATCAATTGAAACAGAGACGGCTGGTTATTGGAAAATTAGGGTTTTGGGGTTTGCAGATCGGATTGATATATGGAGTGCATTATGTATATAACAAGCGGTGGGTTTTGCAGTTCCCGATCATCCAGGTATAAAAGTGGTTTCTTCACATCTATTTTAGTATGTTATTGCATAATGCTAGACTTGTATAGAAATTGTCATGAATTATGATATTCGTTGTGCTTTTTCCAAAGGTTTCTCAACTGATTGATTTCAACAGTTTTATCCTTTTAATCCCAAATCAGTTGTAATGAACTCACTATGTAATTAACAAGTTAACCACTCAATTCGATTATAATTTACCCCCAATCCAATGACAATTTGACTCTGTTTCACGAACTACAGCTCAATTTAATAATAGAATGGGAAAATACAAATTTATGACAACTACGAAAGCCAGTTGAAATCAAAATGGCCCAGCACCAACTCCCAGTTATCAGCTCATCACCAACATACCTCAAATGGGATTGGAAATGCACATCTTTCAGTAGGATCAATAGCTCGAATAGCTCATTCATTTAGGGATATAACAATTTGATAAATTGGTAACTACGAAAGAATCTTAGAGCAAGCTAGAGAGAGAGAGAAGAGAAGTCAGAGTGAGAAGAACACGGGCCAGCAATGAGGAAATACCAGATTTTTACATGTTCTCACACTGGATTTTTGATGTATTTATAGTTCATCCCTTATGCGATCCTTGCCCTTCAGTCCCTTTAATCTGAGCCATTCACCTGTTTTAACCTCCTTTTGAATAATGTCCAATTTTTGTATTTGTTTCATGTATAGACTCATCGTGTGAATTGGGGCATTGATTCAAGAGAAAGCTAAATCTTTGCATTCTCTACTGTAACAGTATTCCTGCTGCTTCATGTATAAAAACTCAAGCAGAATTATTTATTTCGATTATTTGTTGTGGAAATGTGTAGCAATATTATTTTATCATGTGATGGCAGTCCTTCATAATTATGATATTCATGATAAGTTTAAACAATAACTATTTATAGTGGGTCTATCAGGAACAACCTCTATATCTGAACGAGGTAGGGTTAAGGTTTGCGTACTCTCTATCCTCCCTAGACTTCACTTGTGAGTTGTAGGATTATATTAGCTATGTTGTTGATTTAAACAACTAGTCGCCCAATTGTCTATGCTTACTGGAACAGTTAGATGAGATTTTTAACTCCATATGTGAGTTCTCTCACTGCTATGATTATAGCAATTTGATTTTTCTTTGATTACTCCCACTCTTATTAGATATGTGTTCCGTCATGTAAATTATAGTTTGATGTGGTGACTATTGGTATCTTTTCGTTAGTCAGAGACTGACACACAGTTCCATGTCAACAGCGTCCTCCTTTTTTCAGTTTTAAGATGGGGCTACCTTTAGCTGTTGGGAAAGCTTTAAAGCTTTCTGCTGCTGGTTATGTGCTTTCAGCTATCCTTTCATTTGTTCTACCTTATGAGTTTAAGGGTCAACTTCCAGTAGGAAACTTCATCACTGAGCAGATTCTCTTCTATATTGGAAGTTTTGTGGTGATTCTCTGCTGGGAATTATGTCATCATTTACATCAGGTCGGTCTCTCTCCTTCTTACTCTCCCCTTTCACTATATCTCATCAAACACACACGCACACCAGGTTAGGCTCCCAATTAGCTGTATATCTTCAAGTTGGTTATTTTTTTCTATATCATCCGGAAATAAGCATAAATAGCAAAACTTATGTTACTTTGATTATTTAGGTGTTACACACAAAACGGTCTGTCTTTGCCCCTCCAAAAGGTTCTGCAGCTGCTGAAACAAATCCAAGTGAACCGCTTCTGGCCGCATTGGAGGAGAGCACACCAGAATCTCTTTTGCAGTATCTTGCATACCTTGACCTTTGTATGGTATCCGAAGGTAATGTTGATCCTTGGCGCCGAGCTGCCTTCTTTGAGGAAAGTGGTGAAACTTACAAAAGAGTCATTTCTGTGTGCTTGACTCCTGTTGAACAATTCACAAGAAATGTGAGTGAGGTTTTGGAAAGCTCTCCAGTTGGTAACTCCTTGCAACTTTCTCACCAGTTGCGTTCTCCAAATGAACAGCTTGCCGATTCAAAGGTTTATGAATCATTTGATGACTTTCAGGTAAATCACTAATTTTACATGAATTGAATGTCCTTAAATACTGTGCCTTTTTCTCTGTGGTAACTTTTTATTCTTAATTTATGAGTTAAATTTCTTTGGTTTTACTGTCATTCGCGTATCCTGAACTGATAGTATAATACTTATTTTAAATGAGATGCTAAATACAGTCTTAAACTGCACGCAGCTACTAGCTTGGTGTGCTCGCATTGTGGCTTCACTGAGTGTGCATTCACACAAGGAGGACAGATTTGGTGTTGCTCAACTCTCAGGGAGCAATGCTGCTGTTATTTCAACATTGCTATCGAGTTTATTAGCTGTTGAAACTTTGATGGGCAAGAAAACCAACTTACAATCGTCAAATACTTTAATGGATCCTGCTGGTATTAAGTGGGCTACATTAAACCCAGGAAGGAGAGATTCGGCAGCAGGCATGGCAGGAAGAAGAAAAGGAGCCCCTTTTTATGCAAAAGCTTATTCAATGGCTGATATCCTGAAGACTTCCATCTATGGTATTGTCTCTGCTTTCTACGATGAGATGTCACATAGTGCCAAGGAGGGACTGCTTGAGAAAGATTGGATCATCAGTAGTAAGCCACTGTATGGAACTCGTGAGCTCCTTTCACAGAAACTGCGACTGTTCCTGGACTTCCAAGCTAGCTAGGGCATGTTGCACTACATGGAGGTTGATTTTGAAGCGGCTGTGCTTGTGTTTTGACGGAGAATGCTTAAGAAGTTCGATAGCTCATTCCTGGTGTGAAAAATGGTGCCAGAAAAAAAAAGGTTCTAATATATACCAGGTCCGTCTGGTGGATGATGTCTGGCATTGGTATTCAGATCTCAACAATTCCCTCTCTTTTTTTTAACCGGTGGGTAAAATAGTGGGTGGTGGGTTAAATTCACGATTGTCATCTTTGTGCATTAATGGAGGGATGTTTTAGGTTTGAATGTTTTTCTTTGGTATCAGACACACACACATCTGCAGACTGCAAGGCTGCAACTTGCTAGTGTGCGTATCTTTGGAATATTTGGTAACGTTAAGACAAATCTGTAAGCATAAGAATTTTGTTGAAGAGATATGTGCATCTAATGCAAAGGTGAAATTGATATGCTCATGAGCTTTTTGTTGTTGATCACTGAATGTGCAAGTTAAACACATCAGTGTTGTGTGCTCATCACAACTTTTGATTTCAACACTCGGAGTGAATTCTCCCATTTTTTCCATTTACATTCACAAATATTTAAGGAGAACTCCTCACAAGTATGCAGTTACATTCTTGCTGCACTTTTTTACGGC